ATTACGCGCTTCTTTAATCCAGTTATTAAATGACTCCGCCGCATTGGAAGTCATCTCCCCATAACGCATGCCCCTGCACAATATCACAAACATTTTACAATACGAAAGTTAACAGGTCTGAACTTTCACGTTGACTGATGTGAACATTAACATCATTCGCAGTGAACATTAACATCAACTTACACGATGCACAGATGTGAACACTAACATCAACTTAAATGACAGAATGATGTGAATGTTAACAACAGCAAAATATGACAATGGATGTGAAGATTCACATCATTCAAATCAGTCGTTATTATCAGATGTGAACATTCACATCATTGACATTGAACATGAAACACAATTGGAAGATTTTTACAATTCCTAACTGATAATTCATATCGCTACCATTCTGACTTGACAAATGGAATACTTTATGAAACTATTATTACCTGAAGTATGAATTTGCCCAGTGCTCAGGTGCCAAGTCCTTGAAAAAATCATGTGCTCATTGTTTACCCTCCTCTTTTAATTTTGCAAGCTTTTCATGGAACCCTACCACAGTTGGCTCATAAGCACAATCACCCAAACTACTTACTAAGTGATCCCTGAAGCCATTATCAATTCCTTTTATCCGGTCTCTTAAATTGCTCTTCAAGTGTTGTAAGCAATAACCGTGATGAGCCGATAGGAACACCTTCGGCATAGCTTCTAACAGGCCAAGATTACGATCCGAAATAAAAATAATCTGGCGCTTACCATCAACAACCTTCCCAAGTTCATGCAAGAACCACGACCAATTCGCCGTGGTCTCCGAATCAACTATCGCAAATGCAACAGGAAACAGACCTACAACACAACACCAACACACAACTGTTCACAATATTCCAAAATGAATAGAAAACAATATAAACTAAACTGGTCATGTGAATGTTCACATAACTGTCATTACCAGGCACAGATGTATAATAATATGAATGGATTAGTGTATAATAATGTGAATGTTCACATTACAATCATCAGCAGACACAGATATGAACATTCACATCAGTGCATACTAATGTCAATGTTCACAGTACTTATAATTTCTCATTCACTCATTTGTCCACACTATGCATGTCAATGTGAATATTGACATGAATATACAGGTAAAAAAAATACTAACCATTGTTTCCGTCTTTCGCCGTTGCCGCCAGTAGCTGACCTTTGTACTTTCCTTTGAGGAATGTTCCATCCAAGAATAATAAAGGCCGACAAGAATTGAACCCAGAAATACACGCAACGAATGACACAAAGAAACGACGAAACTGTTGACTACTCGCATCATAGTCAATACTGACATAACTCCCCGGATTGTACCGCATCACAGCATCCGAATACCACCACAGCTGGTCAAACGATAATGAGTGATCTCCATGAATACCAGCCTTTGCTTTCTCCACAGCCAACCATACGACATGGTAACTCACATCTAGCCCATAATCCCTCTTCAAAATAGTCACAACATCACACGGCCGAGTCAACGGCTTGTCCCTCACAATTTCAGATATGGTACTCGACACCAAATCCGAACTAACTCGCGGATTCTTCGATGTTCGGACATCCGTACCACAAGTATGCACATCACTAAAACTCTTGATGTAGAAAAAATCATTTGCTCGTTGTGCTCTACAATGTATAGCCCACAAGAAGCCCCTCTCCTCCCGCATTGCACACACAGCAGTAACTCTTGTTGTCTCGTTCTTCACGTATGTAAACTGAAAACCACATTGGATGGCATACTTACATAAAACGTCACGAAATTCTTGTGCACCTCCAACAAACCGTTGTCCCACATGCGTAATACCATTTGCCCAAGGGGCTGACAACAACACCTTCTCGTTATGGTGGCAAAATCTCCGTAATGCATCAATTTCTTCCTCAACCCCTACACGCACCAATTCCAAATTAGTTGACTGACTAATACCACTTTTTAACTCAACCACAACTTCTACATGTTGTACCCCCATTGATTTAGCAAGCAGTAACATGTTCTGAAATTCTTCCTCATTGTCCAAATCACACTTACTAATCCCAGGTAGTTTACAGAACAGTGAAATAGAACTAGTAGACAACTCATCCCATTTCTCACACAAACGCTCCACCAAACGAGAATAACACATTGCGCGGGCAACATTTATTACAGTTGTCCTGCAACCATATGTACACACCAACAGCATAAAGGTATCCATCTCCTATAAAAACACAAAAACACAACAACGAACAGTAATAAAAATCCATATGAAAATTCACTTTGTGCCAAAAATAAATGAGTACGCGTACAGTTCAAGTGCTAAATCCATAATTCAGAATGCGAAGATGTGAACATTCACATTGTTGTTAACAACATGTCAACATTAAGCAAACATCAAAGTAAAATGAGGAAATCAACAATCTTCACATAATATTCGCAAGATGTGAACATTTACATTGACACAGACACTCTAAATTATATGACACACATAGAGCCTCATTCAGCAAACATCAATTTTAAATGAGAACGTCCACATTCTTCACATAATCCACATTAACAAAATGTGAACATTCACATTGACATATATACTGATAATCAAATCGTCTACAGATATCCTCATTGCGCATACGTCCAAGTACAATGAGAACTACACATTTAATCAAAATCGACATGAAAAATCACATTGTGCAAAAAATCAAAAATTACTACGTGTACAGTTCAAGTGCTAAATCCATAATTCACAATACAAAGATGTGAACATTCACATTGATATTAACAAGTTGCCAAAATTGCAAACATCAAAGTAAAAATGAGAACATCAACAAACTTCACATAATATTAACAAAATCTGAACATTTACATTGACACATAGACTCTGAATTATATCACACACACAGAGCCTCATTAAGCAAACACCAATTTAAAATGAGAACATCCACATTCTTCACATAATCCACATTAACAAAATGTTAACATTCGCATTGCCATATATACTGATAATCAAATCATCTACAGAGATCCTCATTACGCATACGTCCAAGTAAAATGAGAACTAACACTGTTGTTCACATAATATGAATGTACTCCCCTCCACAGGACCACGTAAGAAGCATATAATTGAAAAACCAGAGCATCCAATTCATATCAATCCAAAAACAGAGCATCTACTCTATCATACAAATGAAACTATAAACTGAACATGTATTCATAATCAAATTGATACTAACCTTAATCATGCAATCCTACAATCCTCCCGAAAGTCGAACACAACTGATTCGAACTACTTAAAGCTCGGAAAATGTGACAGCCGAACACCTACCTCTTCGTCGCTTCACTCGCAAACCACAGAACCAGACTACAACACCAAGAATGAAACCCTAGCATAACCAATCCTTGGAATGAGTATGCAAAACATAAACGTATCTCTTGGAATTGGATTGATGAAGAAAAACGTAAAATAGAAACTGCCAAACTGAATCAGCGAGGAAACAGGCACGTAATATGTAAATACGTATTAACACTGTACATATATATATATATATATATATGGGGGCAAAATAGTCCAGGAAAATATATTAAATTAGGAAAATGGACCTTATGGAATAAACAGAAAAGTTTATGGGACTAATCAGGTTATAATATTCTTTTGTGGACCTAATGGGTTATAACAACTCTAGAATGGATTTATCAATAAAAATCCCGATTGAAAATCCCATATCATATTTGTAATATAAAATAGGTTTCAAGTTACAACCTTTGTAATGAGTATGAGTACATATTTTTGCTTGATTAAATATTTGTTGATGATGATTATATGATTTTTTTTTTCGCTCCTATTATGATTACATGATTTTTTTTATATTTTATTTTACGTTTCATTTCATTGATTATTTGATTTGTATGGTTGAAGATCAAGTTAGCATTATTATGACGATGATGAAGATGATGTTATTATTTTTGATATATTGTATCACAGGTCATGATTTTTAGAAAGTATATTTTGAATATGTAAGAAAAAAATTAACCAAATATAAAATATTTTCATCCGATTTTTTTTTTTTTTTTAAAAGGCTCCATATTTAACATTCGCTTTAAACTCTGGTAAATTTTGCCATTTTGACAATTTGAACCATTTACTTTTTAGGATATATTGAGTAAAATTACCTGCAAAAGACTAAGTTGATCAGATATTGTTAATCATGCTATTGAATTGCATTTGTATCTATAAAAATGAAAAGCAAATTTCATTTGAAATACAAATATGATTCGATGAAAAGGTTATTGATATCCGATTAATTCGATTTTTTACAGATATATTCTACTTAATATATTCTAAAAAGTAAATAGTTCTGATTGTCGAAACAGCCCCGAAATAGGCCTAAATTCTAACACAGCAGCCACACCATCTCTCACTGAACTAGGATTGTGGTACAATTCGTCTACTATAAGTATAACTTGCCTCTTGATTTATATATTTAAACAAATACACAGTTATATAATAATGCATTCTCATTCACATTAATCGAATACATTAATAGAATGAAAACTTTAATCATATGGGGGTTGCAACTTTTTCATTGCATCGAATACATTAATAGAATGAAAACTTTAATCATATAGGGGGTGCAACTTTTTATATGCAATGAAATTACAGCGTAAGTTACACCCTCCCCCTTATAGTAAATAATTTCCCTACTTCTCAACTGTCCCCATCCCTAACCAATGGGTGGCTCTATTTACACATCACCTTTTCTCTCAAGGCAAACCATTAATTAATTTTTTTTTTATTACAATTTTAACCATAAGTGAAATGACTATAGAGGACAAGTTATAATACACACCATTTATGTATTTACCATAAAGGACAAGAATGAATATAATATAAATCATCAATTTCAAACTTGTTCCTTACGTATCTTCTTTGTTAAGAATACAAAAACCCTAAAACCAAAACCAAAAACTCTTCAACAAATAATCAAAAATATAGTATTATTGAAGATTTTGAATGGATTCAATGAAGGATGCATCTGAAAACTTTGATTCGCAACAATGGAGCAAGGAAGAGGTTATTTTTTTGTTGTTTCTGTTTTCGTTTTCGTCTACTTGCTGAGTGGTAAATAGTTGGTACAGTTCGGTTAACCAGAGGTGGATATTATATCATTGTTCGACTTATTACAACTGGACAATTTGCATTTGTTCGACTAACTACAATCGAACATAATATAAATGTTTGACGAACAACAACCGAACAAACTGCATTTGTTCAACATACTACGGTCGAACAAAATCCCTTTGTTCAACATACTACGGTTGAACAAACATGCCTTTGTTCAACATACTATGGTCGAACTTTATTCATATATTCGGTTAACAAAAATCAAGCAATTTCATTTAATTCGACTTTGTAGTGCCGAACATTTATAATTTTTTTTTTCCAAAACGGTGCATTCGTGGAATGCAGTAATGTTGGATCTGGGGGTCTTGTTGACTACACGAGTCAATTTATTACTAATGAGGTAGTCTCATGTCAAAAATTAGTATTTTTTTCTTTTTCTTTTCGGATGTTTAATGACTTTGTTGAATTTGACCTGTAGGTTTTCAAGAGCAAAGAAGAATTACTTGGTTGGGTACGGGACGTTGGAAGGAAAAATGGGTTTGTGATTGTCATCAAGATATCAGACTATGGTGGTGGTCAGAGGACACCAAGGATATTTCTTGCCTGTGAGAGAAGTGGTCAATACCGAGCTCATAAGAAATTAGAAGGAGATGATTCGAGCAAAAAAATTGTGAAGATAACGGGTACAAAGAAATGCGGGCGTCCCTTTGAGTCAAGGGCTCGTAAGTTGATGGCTGATGATGATTGGATGGTAGATGTAGCATGTGGAATGCATAACCATGCTCCTGCTAAACATTTTGAAGGACATTCATTTGCAAGGAGATTATCTAAGGAGGAAACATCATTATTAGTGGATATGTCCAAAAGCATGGTCAGACCGAAACAGATTTTGGTTACATTGAAACGAAAGGATGCTTTGAATGTAACCACTATGAAAACTATTTACAATGTACATCATAGGAATAATGTTATTGAGAAAGCTGGGAGATCACAAATGCAACATTTGTTGGGTGAGTTAGAAAAGCATAATTACATTGAGTGGCATAGGTGTGACAACAACACGATGACTATCACAGACTTGTTTTGGGCACATCCTGTCAGTTTAGATTTGCTTCCTTCATTTCCAAAGGTGTTGATCATGGACTGCACATATAAGACAAATCGATATCGTCTTCCTCTTCTTGGGATAGTTGGAGTGACATCCACTGATATGTCATTCTCCGTAGCCTTTGCATATCTCCAATTTTAGCGGATTGATAAGTACGTTTGGGTGTTAACTACATTGCGTAGTCTCTTGGATGACATTGCTATTCCTGAGGTGATTGTCACGGACAGGGAGCTTGCTTTGATGAATGCTATTGACAGGGTATTTTCTACATCTCGACATTTATTATGCAGATGGCATATTAGTAGAAATGTACTGGCGAAATGCAAGAAAATGTTTAAGAGTAAGGAGGAATGGGACAAGTTTATCTCTTTATGAAATTTCGTATTACTCTCCTCAACTGAGCTTGAATACAATGAACATCTTGCTAGGCTACTTGCGGATTTTGCTACATATCCTGAGGCAGTGCAATATGTGTCACAAAGTTGGTTAATTCCATATAAGGATAAGTTTGTTGCCGTATGGACAGATAGTTGTATGCATTTCGAGAATGTTACAACCAATAGGTAATATATATTTGTTTACCTTACACTATTATGCATTATGATTTTGATTATCTTGATTATGTTAATTGTTTCCATTGTACACAGGGCTGAAAGTGCACGTGCAAAACTGAAACGGCAACTTGGTTCTAACCAAGTAAATTTTGAGTGTTCTTGGACCAAGATCCATAGTTTGCTTGAGTTACAGCATGTTGATATTAAGGCATCGTTTGAGAAGAGGTTAACCATTGTACAACACCAGTTCAAACAGTCCCATTTTATAGAGCTCCGAGGCAATATCTCTATTACTGCATTAGATCATGTCTTAGCGGAGAGTAAGCGAGCGAATGATGTTGGCATTGATGCTTCAGTATGTGAATGTGTTGTTCGACGAACACACGGGTTACCGTGTGCCCATGAGATTGCGGATTACATCCGGTAGGGTCGTCCAATACCACTTGATAGCATTAACCCACACTGGAGGACTCTTGAGGTAGTACAAAAGTTGAAGAATGATAAAGTGGAATTGAGGTGTGAACCAAAGTTTGATCTCATACTTAAGCGATTCAATGCATCTGATTACATTACGTAGTTGGAAATTTTGCATAAGTTAGGAGAGATTGCAGATCCACAAAGTAGTTTTCTCATTGAGCCGGATGTGAAGCTCAACCCTCGAGGTAAGGCACATAAGAAGATAGATGTATCTACACGTCGAGACCCATGTGCATTTGAGCTAGTTCAGTCTGGACATGATAGCCACTCACCTATGGGGACCCAGATCCCCACACAAGATTCTGTCAAAGTACATAAAAATGGCCTGCCAAAGAGCAGGTACATGTAATCATTTTTTACTTACATTTTTGTTTATGATAAATTATGTGTTTTGTTGTTCATGTGTTGATGTCTTCCCTGTTGAATAGGTATATCGGATGCGTACAAGTACGACTTATTCATATGTTGATGCCCTTCCAGTTGGATTGAAGCCTTACATACGTCTTATCAAGGATGTAGATGCCAATGGCAATTGCGGGTTTAGGGCCATTGCTGGCTTGATGGGGCTTACAGAGGCTGAATGGGGTGAAGTCAGGCGTGATCTCCTACAGGAATAATTAAATGAAACAAACATGGATAAAAAGATATACTACCTTTTGCTCCCATATAGCTGCTGCAATATGTGCCTTGAAGCTTTTCAGTACTGATGGATCTGATGGGCCCCCAGGAAACGGACCAGTGAGTACCTCCTCAGCCTGATCTACATCAGCAGCATCATCATCATCCCCTGAACCATTATCGATCACATCCTCTTCCAAGATTTGAGGTGCTTCCTCCAACACAATATCATCACCCCGACCTCTACCCCGACCACGACCTCGACCTCGGCCACGACTAGTATTAGTTAATGCACAACGTCGTCTCTCTGAGGCAGTGGGTGGAATACGCGAAGGGTCATCCATTTCTAAAAATGAAGCAGAAAACAATAAAGTTAATAGAAGTGTGTTTTGAGACTTTTGTCAAATCACTAAAATGAACCTTTGTCACGAGGCGAAACACATCATTTTAAATGCTGCGAGTAATATGCTAATGTCTAGTAAGTTGGTACTAGCAGTTTCATGCTTACAATTTAAAGATAAATAAATAAATAAATAAAGGCACATCAGATTATTTAACAAGCTTAAGGAGCTTCAAACATGAAGAATTCAATTAAAATTTTACACGATTCTAAATTTAAACAACAAACGCCGACTTTTAAACACCAAGTAAAAACAGTGAGTCTTATTGAAACAAAGAAACAGCAATGGTAGTATCCTAAACCAGAATTTGATGTTTTATAATTGGCATCCAAGCCCGAGTAAAAACAAGCCCCTTACAGATAATCCACACTGCTTCATTCCATCATGCTTTGCTTTTAATAAAAGAATAAATATGTCTAGATTATTACTTTTGTATCAGTAAATTGAGATATCACATCCAATTCAATTAATATAACAGCTCAATGACCTCAAATTCACATTGCAAATGTGAAGGAAGCAAAACTGTTCAAATTGATCTTTGCCAAAAGATTAACAGAAAAAGCAGAAGTTGCATATGCAGCTGTAGCAGGACAAATGAAATGTGGGTATGTCAAAGCATACCGAGAAGGGAGTATTGTTTAATTTGTTTTAGCATGCACTTCATTATCTCTTCCCTTATCGAAGCATAAATTTTATCACAATAATAATAATAATAATAATAATAATAATAAATTGATTCATCATAGTCTAGTTTGAAACTTGAAAATGATTTTCTTTTTTCATGTACTTTCTTGCTCGTGTCAGTGTGAATATACAACCAGGCGAAGCATTTTTAAAGAACGGGCAGTCTCCTACTCTGATCATTATGTCAGCAGGTCACACTTTGCACATTTTCATCAATGGGCAACTATCAGGTAAATGGACTCACTACTACAAAAATAGATAAAGATCATACTTTTTTTTGTGTGATGTATATTATTTAATCACACTTTTTAAGTTTTATTAAAGTGTGATCTTTGAAAGTGTGATTAAAAGGGGTCATTTTTAATCACACATTTTAAGTGTAATTAAAAATATTTAGATCACACTTTTTAAGTGTGATTAATAACATTTAGATGTGAAAAAAAATATATATTACACTCACAGCTTCTCATTTGCTCTTGTGAAGATTCAAACCATCAACCCTCTCACACCATAAACCTTATACAACACACTCCTTCCACTATACCTCTATAACACCATATGATTATATATGCAACATATATTGTTTATATAGTACATAGTTTTATTAAACATAATTTATGTAAAAATAAATTATTTACTAGAAGAAAAAAAAGAGACCACTTTTGGCGACTAAACATAATTTTAGTCGCCAATTCTATACTTTTGGCTACTAATTATTTTTTAGTCGTTAAAAAATTTAATTCCCGGGCTAAAATTACTACTTTTGGGGACTAAACTTCTTTTTAGTCGCCAAAAAGCCTCACTTTTGGCTACTAAACATCTTTTTAGTCTCCCAATGCCTCAGTTTTGGCTACTAAATTTTTTTGAGTCGCCAAAAAATCTGACTTTTGGCTACTAAAATTTTTTTAGTCGGTAAAAGCCTCACTTTTGGCTGCCAAACATCTTTTTAGTCACCCAATACCTCACTTTTCGCTACTAATTTTTTTAGTCGCCAAAAATCCTTACTTTTGGCTACTAAAATTTTTTTAGTCGGTAAAAGCCATATATCGGGGACCAAACAGATTTTTAGTCGCCAAAAACTATACTTTTGGCTACTAAAATTTTTTAGTCACCAAAAATCTTTACTTTTGGCTACTAATGCTTTTTTAGTCGCCAAAACCTATACTTTTAACGACCAAATGTGCTTTTTTAGTCGCCCAAGATGCTTTTTTCTTATAGTGAATGTAATTTTTAAAATTATTTTATAAATCATAAGACTCGTACTATGCACGGGTTTAAATAAATAATTAAAAATTGAGCAGTCACCACTAAATACGCCATCTAACCAACATAAAACAACAATTTAAGAAGGTTAAATAAAAATAAGAAGAAAAAAAATGTACATCTTCAAATAGAAATCCTGTGAAATTCTCAAATTGTAACAGAAACATCTATTTCCAAAAGTTGTAACTAAATTATGAATACACATGCCATCATATAGTACCTAAATGTCCTAACCCAAGTCACTAAATATTTTCTAACAGGTAGAGTGAATTTTTTTTTTATACTTGACTACCCGATATGCTCTAGATCAAACTTAAACACCATGAATGCAAAGAAATATTTGAATCCAGAATGAGAACAAATTAAATAGGTAGATGGCCATTTCCTTACCAAATGTATGAGCAGTTGGAAACATGGACTGCTCTTGAAGGCTGTTCCGGAACAAAATGGTAGTCTCGTTGATGCATTCCCAATCTGAGACTTCATTCCTCGCAATCTCCTTCTCACTCAGAGGCCTCAATCTAACCAATACAAGAATCTTCTGCTCACTACCACCACTCACCACTCCTTGCATCTCCTCCCACTTAGTCAACTCTTCCCCACCAATTGCCCCCATTTCTCACCCTCCCTCTTTTTTTTCACAAACCCACCTCCATTAATCCAAAAACTTAATAACCCATTATTCAAATAATTAGCACCATTTCACTCACTCTATTGCCTGCTTTCCAATCATGGAAGACAGTTAAGATGTTAACACAAGGTTGCTGGGCTAGCCTTAATAAACATATCTGAACTTCCCATAATCAAATTTTAATCAGTGGCGGTGTGACAGAAGGGCTACACTGATACTCGGGTTGAAGCCCAAGAAATTTTGTAATTGAAACCAAGTGAATTCAAGGGAAGTCAGAGGGTCAAACTGTAATTCACCCAAAATTAAATAAGACTCTTTCTCTCCCCCCACTATCAGTGTAAACAGGGTTTATGGCAAGGACAATGACTTCAAACAGTATACAAATTTTGTTTATGCACTTTGAAAATGGCCTAGCTTGCTTTCTTTTAAACTTTACTCTACAGTCCTAGAAACACTCAATACAGGTCCAAAGTAGTAAGAATGGCAAAGCAGATAAAAAAAACATTCAAATCTTCAAGCACAGGGCTTTAACAAAGATACAAAAAAACCCAATTTTTTTTATAAAAAAAAACATACAAGGGAAAGGGAAAAAAACAGAGATAATCAACAGAGAACCAAGCATTTGTGTGTGTGTGTACCTATCTATCAATGAGAAGAGAGTACAGAGAGAGATACCCAGATGGAATAGGATCAAACCCTGAAGAATAAAGAAATAATAGAAGCAAATAGGAGAAAGAGAAAAGAGCTCACATTCACCAGAAGAAGCAGTAAAGACTGATAAAAGAAGAAGAAGCAGCAATAGACCCATTGATTTTTAGACTTTCTTCTTAGCTCCAAACTTTCAATCTTCGAAAACCATAGAAACCCACTGATGTGAAATCTCAAAGAAACGAAAAAACGAATCTGTGAAGATCGGCGGAGGAGGAGGAGGCGGCGGCGTGAACAGATCAGCGGTACTCACGATGACGATGGCGATGGCGATGGCGAAGGAGGAGGAGGTGCACCGGTTTTCGTCGAAGGCTAAGAAGTGCGGCAGTGAGAGAGGGAGGGGAGAGGAGTAACGTAGACGGGGAGGGAGAGGGACGCCGAAAATAGAGAGAGAGAGAGAGAGAGGCGCAGATTATATTAGGGTTTGGTTTGGTACAAAATATATATATATACCATTTTATACAATTAACGACTAAAATACCTCATGGTCGCCAATTACTGATATGTTACACTATTAGCGACTAAAAACTTTAGTCGCCAATTACTTTTACTTTTTTTTTTAAATTTTACATTTGGCGACTAAATATTTTAGTAGCCAATACCTAATATTTTGGCGACTAAATTAATTTTTGGTCACTGAAAATATGTTTTGGCGACCAAATTTTTGGTCGCCAAAAGATAAAAAATAAATTTTTAATTATACATTCAGCGACTAAGTATTTTAGTAGCCAAAACTCAATATACGGCGACTAAAATTTTTTTTTGTCGCCAATTCTAGTATTGTTAGCGACTAAATTATCTTTTAGTCGCCAATAATCAATAAATCCCGACTAAAAAAATTTAGTAGCTAAATTTTATACTTTTGGCGACCAAAAAAAAGTTTTAGTTGCCAATTCCAAAACTTTTGGCGACTAAATTTGTTTAGTCGCCAATTTTAGTCGCCAAAGATGTATTTTGTTGTAGTGTTATTACCTCTCAATGATAAAAGAAGGAAACACGATGGTGAGTGCAATTTTGCTCACACATTCAAATATATTTTTTTAATTATTGTGAAAAATGGGATCTACCATTTTAGATATGACCATTACATTTTTTTAATATAGAATTTATATATTTTATGTATTATTCAATTTCCACGGTCGTTACAAAGCCATTATAGATCTAGGAGAGGTGCACGTTCCATTGCAATTTTTCATAAATTACATTTTAGTTTAAGATTTTTAAAATGTTTTTCTATTTGGAAGCAACGTGTCACCAGCCTGAGATCGGACTGGACAGTATTGTTCAGCCTGTGAGAGTCCGCTACGGGTCC